GTTTTGCACAAGCCTAGGAAAGCCCCTGCGAGTCTGTTGGAGTCAGAGTCTTGCTCACCCCATAGGTGGAAGCGTGCTAAGAAGAGAATGGTACAGGAGGATTCTTGGTAAAGTGAAGCTCTAGGAAAATATACCTGGGTGATGGTAACCTCTGAGGTTCTGCTGTGTTTGTTTTATGAACTCTGTTTCTTCGAGTGTAAACTCTCCGAATGGTAAGGCTTTTTGTTACACACTGTTAGTTTTCCTCCAACACTGGGCAGTTGATGAATGGGTGATGGTCATGTTTGTGGTTGAGATTCCCTCCAAAAGGCATTCTGCTACATTTGTTTATAAACTCGGCTTGCTGAAGAGGTGAGAGCTTTTGCTACCTCAATCAGTTCTGGTGTTTTCCTTCTGGAAAGACTGGGGCAGGCAGACCTATCTGGCCTGCTCTTCCCAGCGAAGCCCATCATCGCTCCTCCCTGCAGCACCAGCTTGTTAGGCCCCAAAGCACTCCTATGTGTCCTCTTACTTTTTACATTGTGGCAACAAATGAGTGAATTCATACATGGCCAAAGATATCGCAGAATCGCTGATATTTCCAGCAGAGATAATGACTTGGGAGACTGTCCTCAACATAAGATGAAGATGATTCTATTTTAAAAAGTGGTTCACTCTCACCACAATATTAAGGTGTTTGAACGTACCACTACTGTTTGGAAAATAAACAGCCCAATTATAAATCTCACAAAATCTGTTGGAATTTTAACAAGGGCATACACCTGCCATGCTTGACAGCCTCTAATAGCTCTAGAACATAGGCTATAGTTATTTCATATGCAGGCTGAGCTTCTTCAAGCACCACAAACAAAAACAGAACCACCCAGAACAATGTAGCAACTGGAGGACTGTGTCCATGTGACACAGAAAATAGCATCTGTGGTCTACTTCTTAGCAGCTCAGTCAAGACTCTTCCGACTGGAAGTGACAGTATGAGGTATGAAGAATCCACATCTTACTCAGATGTTCCCTAGGCTCTCTACTGGCATGGAGAGACCTGTATCAGTCCTGTTCCTAAGGAGATAATCACCTAGGAAACACACACAAACACACACACACATATATACTATACACACACACACACACACACACACACACCAGACTACACACACCATACACACACATATACAACACACACACAAACACACGCATATACACTATACACACCACACACACACTACATACATGCACACTACACAAACACATATACCACACACACATATACACCACACACAAACACACACACATATACACCACATACACACCAAACACATATACACATATAACACACACCACAAACACACATCACACACCACACACACACAAACATACATATATACCACACAAACACACATATACAGCACACATATCACACACACATACACACCACACACACATATACATCACACACACACCACACACACTAACACACAAACACACATATCACACACACATACACACCACACACATATCACATGTACACCACAAACACATCACACACACACCATACACATACCACACATACACACCACACACACACCACAAATACATCACACACACACACACACACACACACACACACACACACACACACACAGCACATCCCTACCCAAATTTGCCAGAAGAGAGAGCCAAGAAGATGCCACTGGGTAGGGTGGGCAGAGTCCTAGCTCCCAAGGTAAGCTCTGTTTGGAGGCTTTGGTGTGAAGCTGACCGGAAGGCATCCGGGGACTTCTCTCCCCTGCGATCCCTGCATGAGGGTTTCAGAGACTAAACTCCGAAGTGTTAAGGGACAGGAAGAGCGGTTCTGGTAGAAGGAGCCACTCATGAGCTTGTGGGAGGACGATAAGAACATTTCAGAGGGACAAATGACGGCAGCTTCCCATCCATACAACAATGGACTGGGAGCGGCGGCGGCGGCGGTGGCGGTGGCGGCAGGCAGGGCTGTGCTCCGTATGCCGGGATTGCCCCGCTGTCTCGGCTCTGACACCTAACTCAGTGCTCGTTCCTGTCCCGGGAGCAGTGTCCTTTGTTACAGACGGCAGGAGAGTCAAAGAAGCGAAATCACTTCTTCAAGTCCTCAGCGCTGCAAAGCCGGGCTGGCATTCCTAGCGGGTACCCACCTGACTCACCACACTGTAGGATTTCCAGAAGATGAAAGTGATCGGGACTTTAAAAATGTTAACATCTACTTTGGCTTTTGAAAATTCAACCAAGGAGGAATGGAGAGAATGGGATAAACAGCTTTGAGGAAATCCGGGACATGTGGCTCATGTCCCTTTCAAGTGTGTCCCGGAAATTCTGCAGTCCTTAGTGCGTCTCTCTAGACTTTCAACCACTCCAACCACACTCTGAACCCAGAAACAGACTCCAGAAGGGAAAATGGCCGCTGATAAACACAGTGGATAACAGAACCACACAGTTGTGTGAGCAGGGTCATGCAACAGTGTGCTCTCAGGTCTTAGAACTTTAGATATGGTACTGTGAGGAGGGTGGAGCCTGCCCGCCAGGGGTTATTAAGCCTCATTTGAGTGCAGGCCATTGAGAAATCAGCCTCAGTCATCAAGACGAGAGAGAAGGAGCTCCTGAAGCAGCCGGGGAGAAGGGAACAGAGAAATGAGATGTCACAGACGTAGCGTAAGACACGCGCTGTGGAACGCTGTCCTCTGGGTAGAGTGTGGTGGTTGTCCACTGAACCATCAGTATCTCTGATTACCCTAAGGAGACCCGGAGAAGACGGGGCCATTAACTTTCTAACACAGTGGAGGAGGGGCTCACAAGGCCTGCTTCTCCGAAGATTAAGAGGCAGCTAACAGGATTGGTTGGGGGAGGGAACCATGAGGACCACACCACTCCCCAAAGATATAATATATATAAGGCTTTACACACACACACACACACACACACACACACACACACACACACACACACACACACACACTCACTGTCACACTAACCTAGACGTGTGTGGAATCCTTTCCTGATCTATTGTTTGGTGCCTTATCTGTCATGTGTGACTAGATGGCTGTTCATCCCTCCAGGAAAAGTCACACAGCAGCATGCTGGCCAGTTGGAGCCAGCAAGAGGAGGCACGAGAGCTTTCTAAAGCCAATGGGAGCGTCGTCCTTAGAGACTCGAGACAGGAAGAGAAGCGGATTTGGGGATATGATGACTTCAGCTCCAGGAGGATGTCAGGACTCCCGAGGGTCATGTTCCATGGGCAGCTGGAGATGGATCAGCCCATGCTTTCATTTCATAGGTCCTACTGTGCACCTAGCATTGATCTTGGCACTGGCTGTGGAGGGATGGGCCAACCACATGTTTAGTCCCCCACTGTGAAGCCCACAGACATTGCACAAGCACAGGACTCTGTCTGGAGTCACAGGAAAGAACAAGGGGGTGACAGGAATTAGCTTGAGAGTGTCAGACTAGATGTGGGAACGTGAAGGGGAAAGCAGGGTGGCATGTGGAGATTCTGGAGCTAGAAGCAGCAGTGTTTGGCTGGGGAGGGAGAGCATCATCTACAGAGCGGCAAAAGTAACAAGGTGAGCAAGGAATCTCAACACACACGGTCTAGGCTCTGAAAAGCTTGGCACCACTTAGACTGAGGCTCTGAGTCAAAGAAAGCCAGGTCTGGTGTGTCTGCCTGAGGTTAGATTTTGTTCAGGGACCGTGGACATTTCAGCACCTCCCCGCGTGGGACTTGTCTGCACATGGGAATTTGCCTATGGTGGCTGGCCTGGAAAGCGAGAAACCGAGGTGACTCCTGACCCATCAGCTTCAGATGACTGGATGCTGACACTAACTTGGGATTCCTAAAATCCAAGAAGATCCCCATTGCCTGGCCAATTTTTCATCCTGTTGTCTTAACAGAAAACTGGGAGGTGGGAGGGTCTTAAGGGAGCCCACTGAGGCCCAAGCTACTACGGTAGAAAAACATCCACTGATTTTTTTTTAAGGGCCGCTTCAATTCAAGTGATAGAGAGGAGCTCAAGCTGGGAGTCACTCAGCGATGTGTGTTGATGACCACAGTGAGAGCAGTAAAGGGGCATTCATGGGACACGTGTGTGTGTGTGTGTGTGTGTGTATGTGTGTGTGTGTGTGTGCGCGCGCGCGTGCGTGTGCGCGCGTGTGTGCGTGCGCTAGGCACTGCTCGACTCACTTCAGTTTCCAACCACCCTGTGAAGAATTTACTTTTTCTGTCCCATTTTACAGATGAAGAAAACAAGGTACAGCGAAGGCATTTCCCCAGGACCTCAGTGTTTACTCAGAAGCGCCTGAGTTTAAGCCCAGGCAGTATATCTTAGAGCCTATTCTCCTAAGTGCTTCTCTGTATGGTTGGGCATCATTGCCATTGGACTTAGACCCAGGAAGGCCTGTGAGGAATCCTGAGAAATGGTGTAATTCAGCTCCCCGGTGTGTAGAAGGGAGGCCGAGGAAGCAGAAATGAAGGGATGCAGCTCGGAGCCCCTCCCACAAGGATTCCACGCCGCAGGGACAGCTAAGAACCTTCTCCCAGGACAGCCTAGCACCCACTCCACCCGAGAGACCCTCTTCTGACTAAGCAGCTGCTCCGGTCCACCTGAGGCCCCAAGGCAGCCAGAAGAAAGAAATATGGAGACATCTCAGGATGTAGCACCCCAAACTACCTTTACAAGGAAGCCAGACTGCACCCCAGTTCCTGCTCCTCTGAGATATGCAGGTACACTCCGTGACCCAGGCCAATTTTATTCCGTACAAGACCAGCCACATATAAAGCTATTTCCAAAACCCCACCAGGCTTTAAGATGTCTCCCCAGGGCATGAAGTTCCCCTCCAGTGTGCTATGAAATAGGGGCAGCAATTCCATCCCACCCCTCCACTCCCAAACCTCTCCATCTTAGAGAGCAATGCCAATCCATCACAAGGCTGTGGCGAGCCAAGAGCTGTTCTGTGACCCTCAGAAACCAGTCAAGGCATACCTTTCCACCTGGAGGTTGACCTTGGAGGGTTCCACGTTGGGATTTTCCCACTCCATTTGTGGGCAGTGCATGAAGTAGCAGAGTGTGTACAGGGCCTCTGGCTCCCAGTAGAGCGCCCCCTGCTTGTGGTGCAGGGGCGTGCCATTTCCATGGTGCTTCGCATTGAGGGGCTGCAGGTGGTGCATCGCCCGGGACACCAGGTCACCTGTGGACAGAAGCAAGATTTCAGAACCGCCAGGCACAGACGCCAACCTGAGGATCTTAGCAGAGACTCTGGACCCTGGTTTCCCCAGCCTCTACATCCCACTACAGTCCCATGTCAGGCAGAGAAAAACATTCGTTGGCCGTGTGACGGTCAGGGACATGGTCTGAAGCACAGATGGCAATGGAATCCTTTGCAGTCCTGCTCTTCTGGAACTCCAATTGCTCCCCCGACCCCTGTAGCCCCGGATGGCCTCAAAGTCACTGTGTAGCTGAGGATAGCTTGTACTTCTGATTCTGCCTCCATCTTCTGAGTGCCGCGATTACAGGCATGAGATACCACACCCAGAATATATGGTGGTGAGGATGGAGCTCAGGGCTTCTTTGTGCAGTCGAGGCATCCTACCAATTGAGCTATACCGTCAGCCCCAGGAACCCAGTGTCTAACAAGGCACACCAAGTCCTTTGCGCCCTGCTTCTGTTGAATGCCTCTCCTGACTCACGATGCCCCTTATCATATCCACTGCATGGCTGACAGTAAGTCCTCCAGAAAACTATGCTAGAGCCATCCTGTTCATTTCAGTTAGCATTCGCTCTGTCCTTTCCTAGTGTGAGCTTCAGAAGAGCCCATGTCCTTGCTGTCCTCTCCTCGTACCATAATTCACTCTTACGTGGTTACTGGTGCCAGCAACAGTTGGGATGCTTTAATCCATACCCAAAAGGTAGCTTGGACTTGACATGCACCCCAAAAGCTGTGTGGCTCACAGGGCCCTTCGGGAGGTGCTTAGAGCCTGCAGGGTTAATTCATTGGTGAGTTTCTGGCTTGGGGGCTGTTGGGAGGCAGTGGAAATGTTGGAAGGCTTCTAGGGGGAGGAAGCTGGTTCCTGGGTGTGCACCTTTGAGCGGTGCATTTTCACCTCTGGTCCATGAGCAGAGTCCTTCACTCTACCACACACTCCCTGCCATGATGCTCTGCCTCAGCACAAAGATGGACCCTCGTGACCTCAGATGGCCACTCAGAAACTCGGCCAAAGTAGCCTCTCCTTTAAGTTTTTTTGGGCATTTTGTCACTGAGATATGTGTGCATACATGATTTATGTTTCACAACATTTGTGCAAGTATCCACTGAGGTCAGAGAGGGCTGGATACCCTAGAGCTGGACTTACAAGGTGTTATGAATCACCTGCTGTGGGTCCTGGGAGCTGAACCCGGGTTCTCTGAGGCATCTCTCCAGCACCTGATACAGTACTTTTAAGGTCTATTTACAGATGAAGAAATGGGAGTCCAAAAAGGTTCCATAACTTCTTAAGGTTACATAGCTATAAAACATGTAAGAGGAGAGTTGGGATTTGAACTTAGGACTCTGACTCCAGAATCCATGCACTCAGCCACACTCCTGGAGCACAGGGGTCTGTCTCACCCTTCTCAGGACTAGTAAACCTGAGAACATGCTGTTCTTTTTTCTCCTTTCTCAAAGGGAAGTCAGACTTTTTATATTAATTTTTATTTCTAATTATGTGTATGCATGTGTGTATGAATGTGGGTTTGTGCCTGTGAGTATGGTATCCACAGAGAACAGAAGAGGGGATCAGATCCCCTGGAACTGGAGTTCCAGGTGGTTGTGAGCTACCTGATATGGTGCTGGGAACTGAACTCCGGTCCTCTGCAAGGGCACCAGGAACTCTTAACTGCTGAGCCGTCTCTCCACCCTCAACCCAGACTTCCCGGGTCACAGGGCAGATCTTCCTGGGGGTGGCCGACGGAGCTCACAAGCCCGCACTTGTCCTGGCCAAGACATGGTTCCATCCTTCACAGTGCTGCCATGCCAAAGTGAGCAGTCTTTGCTGCTACTTGCTCAATTTTAAATGTGCTCATTTTGTCTTATTTAAATACATCCATGTAATGAGGGAAATTATGCCACTTTCTCAAATAGAATATGAGCATCACTTGCCATAAATAGAACATAAATCTGATGAAGACTGCTCAATTTTGGTTCTGCTTTCTTCTTAAGTGAATAACAAGCATCCGAAACGGAGTTAGGGGCTCATATCAAATGGAGCCTTGCTTAAGTAATTAAGGTAAAAGCACTTTAAAAGAACCAGAGTAGGAGAAATGACTTTTAGTGCACTTGCCCTGGCGCTGAAGCCATCTCAGGTACAGTGGAGTGTGTCGCACACCTTTGGAGCCACGTGTAAGATACGAAGTGATTAGTTTTCTGTATCAATCAGGCTTGCCTGTGGAGCTAAGTTGTTTGGTCAGACATAGACTAGATATTTCTTTGGGATATTTTTAGGATCATCTCACCGAGAGAAGACTCTGAAAACAGAAGCAGAATACCTTCTGTATGTGGATGGGCCGTGGTTAACTGGTTGAAGACCTGAGGAAAAACTGGGGCCGGAGAGATGGCTCAGCAGTTAAAAGCATACAGTGCTGCTCCAGGGGACCAGAGATCAGTTCCCAGCACCCCAGCAGGCAGCTCGTGGCTGCATTAACTCCACAATATCTGATGCCTTCTTCTGGTCTCTGTAGTACCCCACATATGAGGCATGGCAGGCACGCGCGCGCGCGCACACACACACACACGCACACACACACACAGACATACACACACAGACACACAGACACAGACACATACACACACATACACACACACAGACACACACACACAGACACACAGACACAGACACATATACACACACACACAGACATACACACACAGACACATATACACATACACAGACACACACACAGACACATATACACATACACAGACATACACACACAGACACATATACACATACACAGACACACACACACAGACACATATACACATACATAGACATACACAGACACAGACACACAGACACAGACACACAGACACACACAAGAAAACATAAATTTAAAAGTGGAAAAATTTTGAAGTTTTCTCTCCAAAAAAAGGAATTCTGCCTCCAGGCTGCAACATGAGCTTGTACTACAGTCCCAGTCTGCTGGCTGGCCTTGCAAGAGCTGGGCCTGCAGGCCACAGTCCTATCAGCCACATCTGTTAAATCACTCTTGTCCCTCCTACTCTTCCTTTATCCTTTGAGACATAGTTCTTCTTTGCAGCTTAGGCTGGCCTTGAACTCACTGTGTAGCCCAGGCTTGATAGGACTTAAGGGGATTCTCCTGCCTCAGCCTCCCTCCCAAGTGCTGAGATTATAGACATGAGCCACCATGACTCTCTCCCTCCCTCCCT